ATCACACCTAACACTTCCACCCAAAATGTGAGCCCTCACAATAGGAATGACCTATTGTCACTGTCGAGCAGCTGGCAATTAAGCAGCACAGCAGCCACTCACTCACCACCCTCCCAGCCCCCACCAGTGCAAGGGGGAGGAAAATCAACAGTCGAACTTGTAGGTTGATATATAACTGAAATAAAAAAATATAAATATAGTGATAATGCTAACAAAACCAAAACTAACAAGTGATGCACAATGCAATTGCTCACAACCACTAGCCGATGCCAGATTCCATCCCCAAACCCAGACTGACTCTCCTTCAGGGTAACTCCCCCCAATTTATATACTGGGCATGATGTTTTAGGGTACGAAAACATTCCTCTGGCCAGTTTGGGTCACCTGTCCCAGCAATGCTCCTTCACAGTTTCCTTTTCGTGTGTCACCTCACTGGCAGAACATGAGGCACAAAGAAAGTTCTCAGTTTAGGATTAACACAATTTAGCAAAAAGCAAAAGCTTTCAGTGTCTTATCAACATTATTCTCATGTTGAATCAAAACACAGCACTGTACTGAGAAGAAAATGACTCTATCTCAACCAGGACAGTCATTAACTCAAGATAGCTGACTGCAAAACATAGACTGCATGAGTTTTTTTATATTTTCAATTTTATAAAAAATAAAAACAAGCCAAGAAATCTTTATGCCATTCCAGAACTCTCAGACCCTCATTATATGTTGTAAAGAAGGAAAAAAAAAAGATTGCTCTAAAATAACATCCCTCAAACATGACCTGCAATGGCTCTTTCAATAAAATTAAAATGGAGTAAAAGACCTCATTACATCATCTATATATTCAACTTATGTTATCACTGGGAACAAGCTTCTTTCTCAATGAGTGGCTCCTAACTCATAGTACATCCATTTGCTGGCTTGGTCCTGCAGCTGGGTGAGATCCAGGCTAGGACCCCATCAGCTGCAGGCATTCAGTGAGGCTCACAGCGTTTTCCCCTTGCTCTCAGAAAGAAGCAAGAGTACCTGTGAATAACGAATTACCAGCACTACTGCCAGAGACTGTTGCTGGAGGTTTTCCTCCATGGGAAAGGAAAAGAAACATTCCCATCTTTCCTGAAGGCCAAGAAGTGAACTGTAGTAACTTTGGTTATGGCAGTGACTTGGCACTGCCTTGGGCTCCCTTCCTCGCAGCAGGGTCGGCTGGGAGCTCACACATTGCCACACCTGGTCATTGCAGACCAGTAACTAGTCTTCCAGGAAAGTGCCAAAGCCAAACCTTCTCAAAAATCTCTTCCTCTCTTCAACCACCAATGGGAAGAGGTTTTTCTTAAGGGAGAAAACAGAATGTGCCTTTACCTCACAAAAACCACCCATGAAACCAAAGAAAGGGCCCCCCCAACCTAAAGGACAGTTGTGGTCAAGACAGACACACCCCACTGGTCCTCTCAGGACAGCAGCCCCCAAACTGATGCTCTCCCCCAGCTTTGAGTGTCAGACCCCTTAGGCACAGCTGGGAGGGGTGTGAGATGGTGGTGATATTTGAAAACAGCTCAGGGAATACAGTTTATCAAGGCTTTTTACAAGCATTCTGGTGGGAAGATCACAAAACAAAATAAAAGCTGGGCAATAACATGCTCCCCCCTCAGATTTGAAATAAAAAAATGGTAGTAACTGCGTCAGTGGAGTGAGAAAGCCAAGAGTTGGGTTAGAACCCAAGAGCAAACTCGGCAATGCACAGGGATGAGGTTGTTCAGTTAGAAAAACATGGGCTTCACCTGTGTCTGGCCTCTCAACCTTGCTCAGGAGCAGCAGGAAGGCAACACTATTTATTAGCTAAAAAACAAATACCTAGAATATGTGTTGCTTCGGGGTGTTTTTCCACTGTAAATCATGTTGATATGTTTGGTGGAAGAAGCTATCTACCCCAAAGGAATTATTGATTATTTTAAGCATTCACAGCACCAGCTGCTCCTAACTCTCAACAGCTAAGAGGGTTATGAGTGGGAGGCTTAGGCTGAGGCAATTTGAAGATGGCTAATATACTGTAAAAAGCAAATGCAGTGACTTCTGGGATGCTTGTTGGTTCTTATGGCAAAATCAGATCCATGCCACCTGAGAAGTGCCCCTAAAGACACCTGATCTGTTCACCAGTACAGAACCAGAAGGGTTCTTAGAGCAGTATTTACTTACACTGGGGTGCAAGCCTGCTCCACAGGCTGAGGATTGGGGGGTAGCTGGCAGTGTCCTTATTGTCCAGGGAAAGCTCTCTCACCTTGACTGAGCACAGTGCAGCAGAGACAGAAAAGATGCTGTTTCACAGCATCCCACTTGAATTTTCCAGTCATGGCAAACACAATCTGTCCTGCAGACAAGTGTGTGACATGGAGAAAGGCTGAGGCTGACGGGGGATCAGTGGGATGGGAAGTTTTGGTTCTCAACACCTCATAAGGCTTTTGCCTTCTGATCAAGGAAAGGAAAAGTGATTAGTCCATTATATGATGCCTACTGACATGCAATTAAATAATGGATCTTAGACAGCAGTAGCTATTGTGCACTAGGACAATGCAATGACTTATTTGAGATTTTCCACCAAATTCTGTATTTCCACAGGCATTTTTGACTTGTGGAACCTGCTGCTGGGCTCAGTTGTCTATTATAACACATATTAATGAATTAAATAAGCAGTTTCATTATGTTTAGCTATAACTTTTAGATACTGTCATCCAAGAGTTTTCTTTTAAACTGAAAAAATAGCAAGAGGTAAGCAATATGCAAAAGGAACAGAAGTTCCTGCTGGTTTGTAGGAATTAACTTCCTCTGTCTATTCTAGTACCATTTGTAACATTTCTGGGCATTTCAGCTGAAAGTATTCAGAACACTAAGGGCATAATTTCTCATGCAAAAAGAGCAGAAAGGTGGCAATACCAAAAACAATAAACCTTGATGTTACCATTTGGTGAAGGAGATACTATTCCAAGCAGACATTAGTTATGTGACTCCAGAGAGTCCAGTGCCTCTTAGCATCCAACCCAAGATCAGGACTGTATAACCTCATTTTGGGATGAGCTCATCTCAGGCCCGCTTCCAAGTTACCATGCACAATGACTTACCTAACAATAAAGGTCTTAGCTGCATGATCAGCTTTGTTCAAATAAATTCTTTAGGAGAAATAAATAAATAAGTCAAATCTATCCAGGCAATTCCCAAGTTCTCAAATTCTTCATTCTAGGAGCAGGTTCTTTATTTTTCAGAGTTGGCAGCCCTTCAATTCCAGCCCCTCTTACCCCCAGTTCACACTGCATTTACTGTAGTTGTGCATTCAAATTTATTGAATTTTTTTGCCACACTTCAGACTCTGAACAAAGCAGCTTTCAGCCTTACAAGTAAGCTTTAACATACTTCAGCCCTCAATGAGTTAAGCACATTTCAATTCCACATGGAGATACTGATTGTAATTAATATGAAATCATGGAGCACTTTAAGGAACAACACTAGGAGTCCAGGATGCTCATTTACAAACTCATGTTCCCAAAAGTGAAACAAAAAGAAAACTCAGCTAACAACTCAACTACTAGCATTTCCATCATTGTTAGAAGAGGGAAAAACAACAACAAAAAGTGGTTCTGACATCAATCCAGCATATATTAAATTTGGCAAGAAATTTGCAATTGTTGAGGCAGATTTACTTGAAGATGTTAATGAAAATTAGTAATATGACAGAACTACACGCAAACTCAGCTAAAATTATATGAAAATGCATGTGTTTCATAGCTATCACTACAAATGACTCTACATTTGTTTAAATGAAGTAGAAATAGTCTCCATAAATTTCCATGCCCCATGCTTTTGTCTCTGGCCTTTGAGCATAGCTATTTCACAATTGCCTTATACTGGTTCATTTTTTTTTTTAATGGCAGTATCAATGCATTTAATAAATAAATCTTTTCTCAAATCGTCTCCCCAGTAATTCCTTAAGTTTCAAGTGAATTAAAAAAAAGAAAAAGGTACTTGAACAAACATGGAGCAAAACAAAATGCAGCGCATGGCTACACCGTGCAACTAATATACAGAAAGGTTTATCTCACATGATTTAATGGAAGTCAGCACAGACATCATTCGGTGTAAACAACTGACGTCTTAGTGAAATTTATAATATCCAATTTGTGGCACTAAACTATTTTTTTTTTTTACTCCGCTAAGTAAATTCAACTGAATGTGTTCCTACGTGCTCAAACATTCATTTGCAAAATACTTACAGAATCAGAGTAAATGCTCAGGTCTGACTGTTGTTCTGGGAAGCTGGATAACAACAATGCGAAAGCAACAGTAGGTGGCCGAGACACCGTAAGCCTGGTAAAGGCTTACCCTTCGCTTTCCGCCCGTAATTTCTGTACACTTGGCCTCTCCAGCCCCCTCCTCGCCTCTCCCAACACGCAGAGCTCGGAAGAGCCCCAGGCACAACCACAGCCCGGAGCGGGGAAGGCTGCAGCGGGCCCCGGGGATGGGAGACCGGGGTACGCTGACAAAGGATGCTGCCTCTGCGCTCCCTCCCTCCCTCCCTCCTATTCCACCTCGTACATTGGCAGCAGCTCGAAAGGTCGGATGTATCTGAATTACTGCCTGGGAGGGGATGAAATCGCCAAGCCCATGCACAGACCCAGCCGCTCCTCTCCGGTTCGGCCGCCCGCACCGCCCCATCCTGCTCCCGCTGTCCCTGTGTCTCCCCGGGAAGGGCTCACCACGGGCGCGGTGGCCGCCACTGCTGCCATCCGCCCCCAGCAGCGACGGGCTCGCCCCTGCTCAGTCCCCTGCCTCCGCCGCCCCGCCGAATCCGTGTTTCCCTGGGACGAGGCGTCGGCGACTGCAGCGAGGAGCAGCAAACGTGTGAGCGGCACAGGCTCTCCGCACGGCGACCAGCCCGCCATCCTTACCTTAGGGACACCGAGACAGCGGACACGGCCAGGCTGGGACAGCCCAACGCGAAGCTACCAAGGCGCAAAGGCTACCGCAACACAAGAGTCCTTTATTCAAATAAATAAAAATGAACTTTTATGTACAAATATACAAAACCATTACGCACATTTTATAAAGTAGTCAGAAACCTTTAAAAAAACCGCGAGGGTGGAGGCAGGACGCCCCCAGCCGGTGCCCTCCCTCCCAGCGCCCGGACACCGGCGGGCGGATGCCGGCGCCGCTCCTTTGTCCCTCGCCCCGGCGGCGGCGGCGGCGGCGGCGCCCCGAGGATGGGCCCTGGGCCAGGGGCTCCGCTCTGCCCGGCCCCTGACGCCACCCGCCCGGGCTGCCAGGGCGCCGACAACACCACACGGAACACGACATCGCGGACGGCGGCCCCACCTCCCCCCGGTCCGACCGCTCCGGCAGTCCCCGCCGCACCGCTCCCCGCTCCCGGCGGGGCTCAGAGGGTGCCCAAGTGCGGCAGCGTCTCCAGCCGGTCCGGGTGGTCGCGGCCGGCCGCGCTCTCCACGCCGCGCAGCCACTCGGTGCATTTCCGCACCAGCCCCTCGTCCGCCGCGGCCCCCGCCTCCTCCTCCTCGTACTCCTCGTCGTCGTAGCGGTGCCGGTCGTTGAGCAGCGAAACCTTCAGCAGAGCGCGCAGATCGCCGCGCCGGGCCGGGGCGGCTCTGCCGGCGGGGGAGGGTGCGGGCTGCCCCCGCTGCCGCTCCAGGCTGCGGCGCTGCAGCACCCGGATGGCCTCCGGGGGCAGGCTGAGCGAGAAGCGCCCCGCCGCCTCCCCCGGCGCCCCGCCGAGGCTCTCGCAGGAGCGGCTGCCCGCCCCCGGCGCCCCCGGGCGGCCCCGCGGCTGCGGCGGGGTGGGCTGGGGCCGCGCCGCCCGCTCGGCCGGCGGTCTCCGCGGCGGCGGCCGCTGCAGGGACGAGCAGGGCCAGGAGCTGGAGAGGGGGCCCGGCCGCTCCGGGGGCGCCCCCCGCGCCTTCCTCGCCGCCTTCTCCTCTGAGGGCCGAGGCGCTGCCTTCTTGGGGGCCGAGGCGGCCGGCGGCGGCTTCTTGGGCTGCGCCCGGGCGGCAGCGGGGGAAGCGGATGGGGTCGGCAGGATGGCCGGCAGGAGGGGCGGCAGCGTGGCGGGGCGCCCGGGAGTTCCCTCCGGCTCGTCGCTGCGGGCCCAGGGAGGAGCGGAGCGCGCTCCGGGCAGGGCGGCGCTTCTCCCTGCCGGCGGGCAGGGCCCCGCGGCGCGCCGGGGCTGCAGCCCCATGGCCAGAGGCGGATGAGGAGTCCCAGCCGCCGGCACGGAACGCGAGCTCGCTCCGCGCCGACAGCCGCCGATTTTGCCTCTCGATAACCCGTCCCCCTTCCCGCCCTTCGCCCGCCCCGGGAACACCCTTTCCCGGCGCGGGGTGGGCGTGCGGGCGGGGACGGGGGTCGTGCCGGCACTGGCCGCCCTCCCGAACGAGCCGCACTGGTCGCGCTCGATGCGGCGCTACTCCGATCTTTGCCCGGTCCTCTCCCGCCCACCCTACAGCGGAGCCGAAATAAAGAAGGGGATGGCGGGGCTCACGCCCCGAGGGCAAAAAGGCTCTAAATTCCTCCCGAAGTCCTCAAGCGTCCAAGAGTGAAAAGGCAGCATTTTAAAATCACGTTAAACTCTCTTGCCGTCTCAAAAACATGAATGATACTTCGAACTCCTTTGAGCTCCTGGAAGTATCGTGAATAAAGGAGGCAGACACACTGAGACCCAGGGCTGACTCGGACTTTGTGGACAAGCACTGCCTGGTTTGGTAATGAACAGTATAGTTCAGAGATTCTTCCGGCATCAAGGTCTTCTGTGACAGAGCTAAAGCACATCTCCCCGTTGGAAGTTTTTTGTTTGTTTGGGGTTTAGTTTGGGTTTTTGTGATGTCCAAGAGAGCAGCTTTCTATATTTTCAAGTACCCTAGCCAACAACAGAGGTTTGGAGAGGTTCTATGGAGCGGTAATAAGTAAACATATTTCCAGTGGATCTAGGATGATTACCACCACTCTGAAATTTAGCCTTAGAAATCATGGCATATAATTTCTACAGCATTTACTTCAAAGTATTGTTTTAATTAAGGTACCAAAACTTTATCAAAAAATGGGTAGCATGTATGCAATCCACAGGGACAGACCTTCACACCTGTGGTTCCACACTTATCATAATGGGTATTACTAGTCTGTGAAGATTCCCCAACTGTGAGCTCTTGGAATACTCATACACAGTAAACAAAGACAGGATATGAAAGAGCAGAAGACCCAGGCAAAACAACGACAGAGTGTGTGCTCCACATGCAGATGGAGGAAGTAAACCCTTAAATGTTCAGGAGAGAAAAACAAGGAAGGCACATGATGTGTGCAGACAAAAGTGCATATGAAAGCATATGGTATATGGAAAGTACATGGAACCTTTGGTTCTTGAACCCATTCTCTTCTGGTGATCTAAGTGTTAACAGATGAGTGGTAACTTCATCATTTACTATAGTGGATAAATAAATAAATAAATTTTAAATAACCGATGTCATTCTAATTAAAGTCAACGGTGAAGGTGACTGTGTACCACCAGAACTGGTGGGTGATGGGCAAAACCAGCTGTGGAACAAATGAAGGCCTGGCTCTGAAGCACTAGTGTGATGGGTGGGGACAGGGATGGGATGGAATTTCCCCAGTCAGCTGAGGTCAGCTGCAGCGACTGGGGAAGGGGCAGTCACTTCCAGAATGTCTCCCATCACTGCCTACGCACATTCTACTTAATCTTCAGTGCAAGCTGAAAACTAAAAAGGAACTAAAACTTCACCCAAGGCTGCCCCAGCACCCAAGGGCTGGAATAGCTGTCCCTACATCATACAGCACTACTGAGCCCAAGAGCCTTCTGTGGGGCCAGGACTACCTGGGACCTCTATCACCAGCAGGAAGAATGCCTCCCTGGGAATTTATTGTTACTAATCAGTTAAAAGGTGTGGCCAAGTTGGAAGTGTAGCTGCAGAATAATGCAATCATCCTGTACACAGCTTCCCCAAAAGTTGTTGCTAAGTTTTGCAGCATACACTGAGATTTAACAGGAACATACTGTACCTCAATTTGTCTCTTTAGCCTGAACTCTGAAAACTAAAACCACTGAAGTTTTCCTTTTCCTGACATCGCTGATCATGTCTTTTCAAAGCCATTCCTTCTAGATTCATGGATCAACAGAAAAAAAAGGAATCCAAATCAACTCAGTTTTGAACACACAAAAGAAAGCACACCCATTCTGTGTGAAAAAGAACCTCCTGCAATAAAATATCAATCACCAAGCATTAAAGATGTAACTCTCATCGAGAATAACTGGATAGTTCTTAGCTGACAAAATTAAAAATGAGAACCTCTTACTGGAGCCAGGCAAAATGTTAGAGCACTTCAATCTATTACCAGATTAAGTCAGAATGAACAGTTTGTCTAAATACTAAAAGAACCTTTAAGGTCACTTCTGCAAATGTATTAAACAAATTTGGATATGGTCATATATACACATTTATGCTTTCATATTTATTCAAGTGTAATGCTGATTTTTTCAGCCCCCTATAGTTGATTTCTGAATAGAAATATATTAAGCACTTTTAAAATGAATTTATTTCACAAGTCTCATCTTAGCATTAAGACATTAGCCATAAGTAGGTACGAAAGTTTTTTTTTTTTAAAACAAACATTTAAAATACAACTTTTTCAATAAAATCCAACAGGTTTTAAACATACCTTTCACATTCTCATCAAGTTTTTTCCATAAGGCACATGTATAGACATTTCAACGGAGCAGTTAATTACAACCTTCCAAATCTTTACAATGTTTATAAAACTTTGTCTTTGGAAAAGCATACAATGGGTGATACACACAAACATAAATGGCACATTGCAAGTTCTAGACAGAACTGTAAATGAAATCATTATGCATACTACCGAGACTTTAGTGACTTGCCTCCACTGGGGAATAAACTGTTACTGGATACAAAGTAGTACTTCTGCATGAAGTATTTAAATGTACTTTGTTAAAAAAAAAACCTGGAAGTTCCAGGGTAAACACAAATCATTCTCCAAATTTATTTTAAAAACTGTTTCTAGTAAAAGTTACTAAATCTCCCAAGTGCAAAAGGCAAGGAAAATATTAAATTGCCACTGGTATTTCAGAAATGGAAAACTAGAGTTTTTTGAACAAAATTTACAGAGGAAAATGTTGCCTTTTAAAGCAGCCAGTGTTTCCTGGTTTTAATTTACCCCAGACAGGATGAGAAGCATTTAATCACAGCATCCCTTTAGAAAAGAAAAAAAAAAAAAAGTCAGTTAAGATATTTGTTATTTTGTTTATGTACATATTAACCATTACCTATTTACAATTACAAATATAGCAGAAACTAAAGACAGATATCAACAGTTGATCAAATGCAGGATCTGGGTGTGAGTGCCTCCACCAAACCAGCTAAAGCCCAGGCTCGAGCCCAGTCAGTGCCAAGGGTTTTCCATGTTGTTTGCATTGCAGGCCATGCTGAAATGCAGACACAGCGTTAGGAAGTGCTCTGCAGCACACTGCAAGGCTGAGCAAAGGGCAGAGCCCAGTTTTGAAAGGCTGCCCAGCAAGGCACAGCTGCCAGGGCTCCAAGCCACATTGGAGCAGGACCATCACAGTGCAGGAAATAAAGCACAGGCTGAAGGCTTTGAAGTGTGCACTGACAGTGCAGGATGGAGAGAGCTGGTTCAGCCTTGAGGTTTGGCAGATCTGGAGGGTTCCCTTTTTTCAGTCAACAATAAACTGTTTTCTGACTGTAGCATTCAGATCACTCGCTTTGGTCTCCTTTACCTTTTATTTTCCCAGAAAAGTAACAATATACTAAGGAGTGGAATTTGTATTCTGTTGCTAGTCAGGTTCAAAAATAAAGAAACATACTATCATCACTCTTTACATTCACATCGCTGTATGGCTTTTGGTTTTGTTGCATTTGTTGTTGTTTTCATTTGGGTTTGGTTTGGTGGGGCTTTTTGTTACCACGCCAACAGGAGAGCTATCACTAATTTAGGAAAAAAACAAACAGAAACCAACAACCCCCACCCCAACAAACCCATAGACAACTAGAATGTTCTGAAGAGCAAACCATAAATACAGTTAAACCAAGGAATGATAATCTCATGAAATCAAGAGAAATGCATATGTTAAACAAATGACATAATATTAATCCCTTAGCGCTTAGCATGGTTTAGGTAATTGTTCCCATAAGAAAGGCAGTCTATACAACAAGGCAAGGAAATAAATTTAGGAACAAATTTATGATAACACTACACATAAGTAAACAACTCAGTAATTGATAAAGAAATCACAGTATTACTAAAAGCAGTCTGCATAAAATTCAGTTCTTTGGCTCATAAAATCTAATAGATAGATAAACCCAAAGAAATTAACTGATGCATATAACCAAATGTTTTTCTGCCCAGAACTTAGAAGTACTGTTGGTAGGGTAGAAAAAGTCAGAGAAACCAAAAGTTCAACTTGCTTTCTCTACAGAGAAAGCCATTAAAAACAACAACAAAAAAAAGACAGAGTGAACCTACTGAGACTGTCTCATAGCCACTGGAACTGTAAGAATTCAGAATACTACTTTTGAGTGGGTTAGCCTGAGTTCTCAGAAACAGTAAAATGACAATTTGAAGCCTGAGTTCAGTTATTTTATTCGCTGTAATCGTCAACGACAATCTTAAAAAAAATCCTTCCTAGATGAAATCTGAGGCTTTAAATACAGAATTTTTTAGTGATGCTACAGGAAAATACCAGATGATAGGGATAGACTATACTTTGTACCTTTTTTCCCAACATCTCTACTACAGCAAACTGCATTAAATGATAAGAAAGTGCCTAATTTTTAAAAAAAAAACCCCACTGTCAGGAAGACCAAACTGAATTTTACATGAATCATAGTAAAAACAGATTCTTACATTTGATTACTTGCATGTGTTTCCACTATGTGTTTGGTCTGCTTTCATTCTCTTTTTGTACACACAAAAATGAAAGAAAAGAGGAGCTTGCCAGAATGAAAGTAAAGACAAAGCACTGCCTTGGCCCCTCCTAAAAACGATTGAGGTATTCAGAAATAGAAGCTGCCACTATGTTGTTTGTTTGCTTTTAACTAGGACCTCAGATCCATAAGTTACCTTTAATTTTAGTACCAGAAAGTCACTATCGCATCACTGTATTGTTAAATCATCAGAGACATTACTTAAACAAAACCTTGATTAATTTTCGGTGGTGGAAACTAGAAAGAAATTTATTTTAAAAAATTGTATTGTACTTCTATTTAAAGCTAATATTAA